AACCCAACTGGGTCACCAAATTGTACGTTACACCTTGTTCTGCAATTAAGCTACTTTGTGAAACATCTCAGTTATAATTAAAGAAGCAATTATCCCCCTGTTAAAGGCACCGCAAATCATACATTTCAATGTAAAAGTTTGTCTGGCAGCTTATGGCATATTAACCAATCTTACATCTCATTGATGTTTTCATCTATAACCTATCACAATGAGCTAATTTGATGTGACTCGGTGTCTCTAACTATATTTTATCATGTGCAATATGATGCTGGCATCTTTCAAAGAACAAATTAAATGAGCTAAGGGGTTAATTGCTAATAACTGTCATTACTGCTGGAGCGTTGCGGAAGAGGATCCTTCCTGCCTTCTCAGGTTAGGTTGGAAAAAATGCACACTTGGAAGAGAGTGGAATTGAAATGGCTGTTTCTACTGACACCGAGGAGCTGCAACTGCCTGATTTCTGCTGAGCACCAGCAGCTCCTGCTGAGTCTGGTGGGTCAGACTGCTTATCTCACCACCTTATCCTATTCCTCCCTGTTGAGGAAAAGCAGAAGGCAGGGAAGCATGGAGCTAGGGCAGGAACTTGTTTGTTTTTATGTCCATTCCTTTTATTTTTTATTTTTTTTTTTCCCCACAGCGGGAATATGTGAGTTTGTCCCTTCACCCCTATGTGTGGAAACCTCAGTGTAACAGCGCCTGTGCTGGTCCTTCTGCTGCTTGCCTGGGCCACGCATTGGAAAGGACAAAACATTTACCTGGGTGTAACAGAACCTGTGGTTAGCTTCAGCTTGATATTGGCTATAAAAGTGGGAGTGGAGAGGCATGCCATGGTGCACCGGGCACTGACACTGGTCAGGGCTGCTGGGCAGGGGGTATATGGCCACAGAGAAGCTGATCTGGTTTTCCCAGAGACCAAGCAAGCCCTCGGTTCCTTGATTTGTCACAAGTGAACAAGCAAGACATACTTTGATGCGACCTCAGGCCATGAGGCTGATGTATTTTAACACACCTTCTGTTTGGATCTTGGGCTTTTTTTTTTTTTTTTTTTAAAGTGGCTGTGATGTGAGCCTACTCTAACACCCCGCATGTCTTAGTGGATCCGAGGAACTGGTAAATGCTGCCTTAAAAGCTTTGCCTGCCTATCTCTGTCTTTGTCTTTCTTGCCCTTTGGAGCAGCTGTATGCTGCTATGTGGTTCAGCTTTTCAGTAATAGTAAAACCTGCTCTAGCATTGATCCATGAGAGCTTGACACAGTTAATTGCAATTAAATATGCTAGGAATTATAAGACTAAATTCCCCAGCTACTGAAAAGAGTAGAGAATGTATCCCTGAGAGTGGCTGGTCCCACCACTTTGAAATACCAGGAAAAAGAAAAAAAAAGAAAAAAAAGAAAAAAAAGAAAAAAAAAAAAAAAAGAAAGGAGAGAATAAAATCTAAGATAAAAAGCAAGGGGAAGATGCTGGGACTCTGGACTCCAGCATTACATTACACTAAATGGGTATTTCATACAGTTTCACAGCGTATGCTTTTCTTCCTCTGTTTTGGTGTTAAATCCAGTGACTATTTCAGAAGCCAGTAAGTGGAAAAAAAACCCGAAACAAAACACAATGCCCAGAGTGGGAAGAATCTGAGGTACATGCTCACCAAAGGATTTGAAAATGCTGCTCACAGCTGCAGCATATGCATTACCCTACTCTACCTGGAATCAAAGCAGTCTTTCAACAAGGTGGAAAATAGGCTCAGTCTGCTGCCTTCCTTCTCCCAAGTCCTTTCTTACCTGCACCATCATATCAGAAACTTCTCCAAACAAATAAACGAAGTCTTAAACAAAGAACTCATTCATCTCTAAATTAAAATAATCATGTAATCCTTCAACCCACCAAGTTACCTTTCATCTTTCCATTTTTTTAAAATTTATCTTACCAGCTTCAGCAAGTGGCTGTAATAACGTGTCACATTAAGTATTCATATTCATTAGTGTTCAGGTCTTTGTTCTTTTAATAGTGTTGGAAAGAATCTACAAAGAGGCTGTATTAGGCGGCTGTCCAATCTGGGTGTTTGATCTCCTTCTGACTTCAAAAGTCAGGAGAGGAAAAAAAAAACAACATTGACAATGGTTCTTTTGAATGCCAGATGGGGAGTATACGATTTCTGAGCCTGCCAAGTGTTAATTGGTGTCTGCCCTGACCACGGTACAAGTAAGATTCAGAGCCAGTTCATGTACAGTCATGAATCTCAGCTATTGACAGAGTGAGCTAGCATACTAGAAGGCAGGAAAAAGTGTAATTATTATGAGACCAGCTCACAGAGGATCTTTTCAGAGATCACTTCCACGCATCATGTTACAGCATGCTGTTTGGGTCCCAGCTACCCGACTGGGCATTACAGACCTTTCCAAGGGAATAACCGGACTGGCTGCTAAAATTTCAGAGGTGCTTGTAACACTGCATTCAAACAAACTACCCGTCATCATCAATCTCTGTTTCTAGCAAAGGTAATGAAGCTCTCCAGTACTACCCTGCATGGCCTGAACAACATATCTCATTGCAAACATTCCTGCCGTAGCACAACAGCAATTTCATTTGATGCAAAGAAGCATCAGAAAGGAAAACAAAAAATTGCTGCTAAGTTCCTGAAGAAAGCCAACTGATTAATATTACAGTTCTCAGCAAGCTGGCTCGGCAGACCTAGACAATCTTTACAGTTTTGGGGATCTTAACAGGGAAAGAAAACAGCCTATGGAAAAAGCAAACGGGAAAAATCTTTTACACTAATTATTCCTTTTGATGTTTGTGGACGTTTCTGCAATCCTGTTTAAATCTAAACTTGGGTTAGATGGGGAAGTAACACTTTAAGATTCATCTCCTGAGAAATCAGTCATCAGCGCTGAGTGACAGCCCCTTTGCTACTTTGCCATGACAGTCTAACTTATCCTAATGCAAACTGGCAACAGTTTCTTCTGTGCGTGGCAGAGCAAAACCAAGGAGAATTCACACAGAGGAATTACCATCTTTAACCATCAATTTTTCTCTTAACAATCACAGTGGATTTAGGATTTCAGAGCCCCTCTGTGACCCAGGTGACCCCTCCCCTCCCCTCTGTGACCTCCCCTCCCATGAGCAATGAGTCTGAAGTTGGAGCCACCACTGCACTTAGGGAAGCTCCTGTTCATGGGGACACCCACTGCTGTCAGTGGGCACAGATGTTGCTGACAGGCACGCTCAGTCCTGCCACGTGGAGGGCAGGCTACCCATTCTGGGTTTACTTAAATGCCAGTAAGAAAACCAGAAGAGCCCCTGAAGATGCATTAGTAGGCAGACACATCCCCTATTTGCCCCCACCTCATGCTGCTTCTCATGGGAGGCCGTACTGAACCATCCTCTTGTGCCGAGCTGGCCAGCTGGTGTACACACAAGCACATGCACAAACATGCGAGGGAAATAGAATCTGGCAAACTAAAAATGAAAATGTCTTTATACTATGCTTGAAAGCTGCCTCTCAGAATAAGTGAAATGTTTTTTAATTTAAATGGAAAAGGAAAGATAGTAGGTTGATTTTAATACGCTCCACCAACTACATATTCTTTGGATGCCAGATATAACTGATTTTATACCTGGATCTGTGCAAAGCATTTGACACTGTCTCACATGACATTCTTGTCTCTAAATTGGAGAGACATGGGTTTGATGGATGGACCACTCAGTGGATAAGGAATTGGCTGGGTGGTCACACTGAAAGAGTTGTGGTCAAAGGCTCAATGTCTAAGTGGAGAGCAGTGATGAGTGGCGTTCCTCAGGGGTTGGTGTTGGGACCGGCTCTGTTTAACAACTTTGTCAGTGACATGGACAGTGGGATTGAGTGAATGCTCAGTGAGTTTCCCAGTGACACCCAGCCGTGTGGTGCAGTTGACACACTGGAAGGAAGTGACGCCATCCAGAAGGACCTTGACAGGCTTGAGAGGTGGGCCTGTGCAAACCTCATGAAGTTCAACAAGGCCAAGTGCAAGGTCCCGCACATGGGCGGGGGCAATCCTAGGCACAGATACAGGCTGGGGGATGAGTGGGTTGAGAGCAGCCCTGCAGAGAAGCACCTGGGGGTATTGGTGGATGGAAAACTGACTATGAGCCAGCAATGTGCTCTCGCAGCCCAGAAAGCCACACGTGTCCTGGGCTGCATCAAGAGAAGTGTGACCAGCATGTTGAGGGAAGGAGTTCTCTCCCTCTACTCTGCTCTCGTGAGACCCCACCTGCAGTACTGTGTCCAGCTCTGAGGCCACCAGCACAAGAAGCTCCTGTTGGAGCAGGTTCAGAGGAGGCCAAAAAGATGATCAGGGGACTGGAGCACCTCCCCTATGAGGATACGCTGAGAGACAGTTGGGGTTGTTCAGCCTGAACAACCTGAGAAGAGAAGGCTCCGGGGAGACCTTATAGTGGCCTTCCAGTACTTAAAGGAGCCCTATAGGAAAGATGGGAAGGGACTCTATCAGGGAGTGTAGGGATAGGACAAGGGGTAGCAGTTTTAAACTGCAAGAGGGTAGATTTAGGTTAGATATAAGGAAGAAATTCTTCACCATGAGGGTGGTGAGGCACTGGCACAGAGTGCCCAGAGCAGCTGTGGCTGCCCCCTCCCTGGAAGTGTCCAAGGCCAGGTTGGATGAGGCTTGGAGCAACCTGGTCTGGTAGAAGGTGTCCCTGCCCATGGCAGGGGGGTTGGAACTGAATGATCTTTAAGATCTCTTCCAACCCAAACTATTCTGTGATTCTGTGATTTTTGAAAGGGAAGAAAGAACTGAAACAAAACTGCCTGCAGCTCTGCCCAGTAAGGCACCATAATCCAAAGCCATTAATCAGTTCCCAATCAATCTTGTCTACCAGCAGCAGTCAGTCAGCTCTCCATTACCACATACTCATCGTGCTATGCCCTAACTCACTGCATGATTAGCCACCGATCAAGCCTTAGATAGGATGTCCAAGTGCCAAGACACTGCTGTTGCTGCTCACCTCAGCTACTGGGATGCCTTCGGGGGGACGGCACTGGAGCAGGACCTCTTGCTCCAGGGACACTTCTTTTCCCAAGGGCTCCTGCTCAAAAGTTTTCCGGAGATCTGGGGAAGGAGAAGAAAAAGAATTAGTAGTATTAATAGATGGTTGTTTAAATTACAGTTGATTGCCATACTGCATAAATGAAAGAGATCTTTCTAAACAGAGAAAATAGCATTTCTGGTCCCTGGAAAGTGAAGCACTTAAAAAAAGCTGGGACATGTTTTCACTTCATTCCAACATTAATCAATCAGATGTTTCATAGTGGATTCATCATTTATATTGTGGTAGAGCATGTAAGTGCAGCCAGGATCCAAGGCCTCACTGTGGAACGTCATGTCCAGACACAGAACAAAAAGTGAAGCAAGTCTCTTCTTCAGATAATTTACATTTGGTGAACTATGACAATGAAGTACTGAAGCAAGTTATGGAAAATTAAATAAACCTGTAAAACCAGAGCACATAAGCTGAGCTGCCTTAAACTCATGGATGAAAGTGCTCGTGCTGCGATTTAATGTACTTTTAGTTTATAAGCATTAACTTTACAGCTTTAGCTAATTTGTCTTCATGTTACCACTATCCCTGTAGCACTAAATAGATAACTACAACATCAACAGTAATGTGGAGCTGAACTGTAGTTGCATCCCTGCACAGCACCACAGAAATGTGTCAGTCAGAGAAGACATTAAATGCGCCTCCAAATGTTGGACCAGTTCGTCATACTGGACAGCTGTGCACTCTGTTTTTTTTGTAAGCTTCTGTAATATCTTTGCATTGGTGATTAAATGGACTTGAGAAGTTCCCTCCTTACCACTGGCTCCATATTTCCTCTCTGCTGTACCAGGGAGGATGGGGTTTTGGAGAACCAAGCATTCAGCCCAGTAGTGACTGGGGATATATTTCTCCCTGCTGCTGGTTCCTGCTGCAAATGGACATGGGGCCATGTTCAAAGTAATATCAGAGAGCTGGCGTGACTTGAAAAAAAACCTTGCAAAAAAGTTATTTTTATTTAACTTTTTGTTCTGAAGTCAGACCAGTTCCTTATGTCAGCTCATGGCGGGGTTGCACAAATACTCGTGTCATATTGGAAACAAGTCATATGGGAACAATTTAAAAGCCAAATACTTCATATTTTGAAGCCATAACCTGCGGCTGTGCTGGAAAAGAGATCACTGAATTGAACCAGTTTACAAATAAACCATCCAGAGTTATTTTTCATCTAGATTACCTCCAAGATCTGATTTACAGCTGACCCACGAGGAACTGCATCAGCACTATCAGAAGGCAAAACTAGGGGCAGATGGAAAAGGAGATGGGGTGTCTGCCACCAAAATCAGCTCCTCTGAAACTCACCTTCAGATAGCATGACACTTTTGTCTTTTATCCTATATTGGGAAAATGCGGTTGTTCAATTACCGGGAATTAAATGTCAAGATAATTGTACTATGGAAAAACTCTGTCGTAGCTGGAAAAGCTGATTTTAACTTAGGCTGATAACATGGTAAGCTTCTACCGTCCTTAAACCCATGCATTTCCCTAGTCAAACTGAGGCATCTTGCCCTGCACCATGTCACAAGAGGAGTCACCCCAAACCCCACTCCCTCCCCACCACTGGCATTCCTGCTCCCTTCGGCACACAGGGCAGGGATGCTGAGAGCCCCTCTGATGGGATGGGATTTAGGGACACAGTTTAGGGCACAGAAAGTTAAGGTTTGGCAGATCTTACTGTGACAATATAAGAAATTATTGCCTCCAGCTGTCTGCTTGTTTGGGGATTACTGTCTGTCAAAAGGAAGCACATGCCAATGCCACAGCTTCCTCCCTACAAAAACCACAATTTTAACCTCAGTTGTTGACGAAGGGGGCTTTAACCTACAACACCAGATAACTTATGGCAAAGAGGAGGAGCAAACGTCTGGAAGTGATCATTTCTTAGGATGACATGCCAAGCTTCACCAGACTGGGCCTGTGAGCATCCTTGTCAGATGGGAGTTATTCCAGGCCAGCGAGGCTTGTTTATGTGAGAGAGACCACAGAAAGACAACCAGTCAGATCAGGTCAGTCTCCGACACCCGTATGTAACTCCCACCATGTTGCCAGCTCTAGCATCATCCAACCCTCTCTGACATGCTAACCAGTGGACATTTGGGTGTTGGAGAATGTTTCAGAAGCAAGGGTCCTGAGCCCACCGAGCAGTTGTACGATCAGAGCCTGTTCTAAAGGCTGATGCTGGGCCTTGGTGATGCTGGGCCTCACTAGGGTTTGCCTGCAGCTGCTCGCAGCTGCTGATACATGAGGAATGTCAAGGACGCTTCAGCCCTGTGTACTGTGGTGTGTCGAAAACAGGTTAAGGGGAATTAGGAATAGTGGTCTGAGAAACCTAGTGTTATGGTAACGGTGGTCTGAGAAACATTGTGTTATGGTACTGTTGTGTATTGAAAACAAGTCAAGAGGAATCACAAATAGAAACATGAGAAACTTAGTGTTATGAGAAGCTTGTGCTGTTAGCTAACTGCAAGTAGGTGGTCCATGCGAACATGACCTTTAGAGCTTAAGCCAATCAGCTAGTGACTAGTAGGCATAATAATTAGCGTTGTCTGTATAAATATATGTACCCGGACCAATAAAGATTGATTGATGCTCTATCTTCCACATTGAACCCGTCTCAGCGTGTCGTTCGTCCGTGGCTCCGCATTTGGGTTGTATGGCTCAATTTGAGTAAAACCAAAAACCCTCCAGGTGCCCTGTGCGTGGGAGTCATTCCAAGGACAAAATGCTGAGTTTTGGGTGCTGTACTTCTGCATGTTAAACAGGGAGATCAGCAGCTTTATCAGGAGTTGGTGGGTTTCTCAGGATATAATATTCATCCTTTGGCCCAGGCTCCTCACACATCCTGTGGACTTGATAGGTATCCCAGGCACACATAATCACAGGTTAGTATAGTTTGGTTTAAATTAGCAAATAACTGGGTTATATTGCTAGCAGTACCCGTATGTTCATATTATTGCTAGTTGCACAGCTATTTCCAAAGGAAAAGAATTACCTCCACATCAGGTACACCTTAGTGCATCTAGCACATACAGATATGTGTACAGTGCAGACAATTATGACAGATGTATTGTGCTCTAATATCATAGCTGAGGATAAATGAGAAAGTTATCATGCTGGTAACAGCAGCATATAAGCACAGTAATAAATAGTATATTAATAATAGCTTTTAGGTGTTCAGATATGGAGGGATGAAGACAGTAGAGGCAGATTAGATAGATAATAATCTGAGTTTTTTGCTTGACATGTTGATTTACTGTCCTGTCTACCTTCCTGAAACATTAATAGAGCTCTGAAATTCTCCATAGCCTCACGTGCACAATAATCATGCCTCTCACAAAGCACTTGCCTTTAAAAAAAAACCAACAAGTTTTAGTGCACACAAAAGTAAATAGCGTTTGTCTAGAAATGTGTAATAACAGTAAAAATTCCCACTTTAACATCTTTTTTATCAACAGCTGGAACTGCTGGGTATGAACAACCCCTTTCCTCTGGGAACCGTTGCAGTGGGGCTGCCACAGGTGAGAAAGACCCTGAGGGACCCCGGCTCCCCCCCGTCCACAGAGCCTTGTGTGTGTGAACACTTTAACAGCACCGTTGGATTCAAGAGGGTAAATGATCCACAAACTAAAAATACACTAAGTAGGGGCCTTGACATTAATAGACAGTAATGTTCTCAAAGGAGTCATTAGATACTATTGAGTAAATGATACTAATTTGTGAAAAAAAAAAAAAAGAAAAAAAAAAAAAAAGGGAAGTACGTAATTGTGTATTTACAAGACTGGGAGCTCTTATACCCTACTCTGTTGGCTCCCTCCCACATGCTCACAGCTTTATCCCACCAGAACTACCTACTCCCTCCCACTGCAGCCAGGGCACATACAAATAGCTAAAGATGGCAGCTGTGCAGGGCAGGTTTTACCTAACCAAGCATAAGGTTCGCTGGTTGTAACAGACAGACAAGTTAACAAGGTGGGGTTTTTGAGTGATGAAGAAGCAGAGGGCCTGAACAAACAATTTCATCACCTGCTCTAACTATCATGAAACACCCTGCTGGGATGGCACTGGGTTCTGAAATGATTGCTATTTTCCTATGGTCCTTGTTATGATTTCTGTGGATAACAATGATGTCCTTCTAATTCTTTAATCTTCAGCTTCCTTTTAACAATTGTAGTCATCATGGCAACTTCACACTGTCGACCGGGAGTGGGTGAGCTTGATAATGTACTGAGGTGCTTTGGATCCTTTCCAAGCAGAGTATTTTCAATAATATTTTTTACTTTTCAAAGTGTCACATAAGTTACAATTGCTTGCAAGCAAGGACAGAAGGGATACATTTTTCCAGAGAATTGTAAAAGATGAATAAAATAAATCCCATTCAAAAAAAAAAAAAAAAAAAAAAGTTTTAACAATCTTCAGAAAATATGCCTGAAAAAGCAAAACAATAAAACATTTGATCCATTCTGGGTCAGGACCTCTTTTGTCTGTGAAGAGGCAGTGTGAATTATTAAAGCCTCAGGTCAGCAGCAGCCCTGTTAATGCAACACTGAGAGAGAGCCTTATCTCCCCTCAACTTCAATAGGGAGAGACGCAAGAGAAAGGCAGTTGTGCTTTCTTTCCATTATTATTTTGGTAATGCAGTATAATCCCTGATTGTCTGTGTTGGCAATACTCTTCGTCCCCTTGTACAGGTAACATTGCTGCCACAACTCATCTCTTCTGGAGTGGAGCAAGCCCTGGTAGACAGTGTTGTGAAAGGGTCCGCCTTGTTTTTCCTCACCAGCTCTCTCACGGGTTTCATCCAGTAGCCAGTGGGGATGTGACCGCCAGGCTCAGGGGACAGCCTGCACCCCCATCAGGCATTTTTCCCCACCTCTAACTTCCCTTCAAGGCTGTCTTCATAAAAAGAAACCAAGGAGAAGAATTAAAATTCTGGTCTGCCACCTTGAGCCAGACTCTATTTTCTTTACTAATGCATAGTCTCAGTAAATTCAGAGGGGGCTCTTGTGGCATATAT